TGAGGCACGCTAACAACCTTCCTGTTTTATGTTAAATATACTTAAAATTATGTTAAATAATACTTAAAATAACTGACAGTCGCGCCCGTGGAGTTGTGCGTTTGTTAGTCGAGATCTACACCGGAGCTGTGGGGCTGGTGTGACCTACGAGGACCGCAGCAGGATGCAGCTGGATCACAGCGCAGCGCGGGTGTCTCGGGCGGTCTCCACGACGCGAGTCTCTTGCCGGGCGTTTGCTCGGCCTGGTTTTCCAAAGAGAAACAATAGGAGGAGACTGCAGTGCTTATTTAGTGCCCTGGCTTCTGCGCAGGCATTGCCAAGCGAGTTCCCCCCGGATGCACACTACAGTACCAGCCAGCAAGTCCTCATGCCGAGCGCTCGTCCCAAGCTGCCGGGGAAGAAGGAGGGCACCGCTGCAGGTTGCCAGCACGGATGAGGGTGGCTTCCCCCTTCCTCCCCAGAGCTCCTCCTCCTTCTTCTTCCGTTAACTCGGGCAGCCTGTTTTGGTGCACGTTGCCTGTAAGTGCAGGCCCATCTAGACGCTCTCCCACTATGCCAATCGCATAACCGCCTTTGCCTTTCGCCTCAAGATACCTGCCTGGAACTTCCTCCTGGCTTACTGACTGGACTCCCTCCTGTTACAGACCTCCTGAAGCCACACTTTCACCCTTACTTCTTCTTCCGTTAACTCGGGCAGCCTGTTTTGGTGCACGTTGCCTGTAAGTGCAGGCCCATCTAGACGCTCTCCCACTATGCCAATCGCATAACCGCCTTTGCCTTTCGCCTCAAGATACCTGCCTGGAACTTCCTCCTGGCTTACTGACTGGACTCCCTCCTGTTACAGACCTCCTGAAGCCACACTTTCACCCTTACTTCTTTTACCTCCTTGCTTCGCTCCCTCTCTTTTGGGAACCTCTTTGTCTACGTTTCTTCTTTTCCTAAGCTATGTATTTTTAAGAATTTGCACGAGCTTAGTCATCTCACAAGGCTGTTGCTCGCTGCACGTGTGAGACTTCTTCAGAGGCCTGCAGCGTCCTCCATTCGCTCCTGCCCGGTGCTCTGTGGATGCTGGTCCTCTCTCAGGCACGTGTGCCACCAGAATTTCTCTGCCACTCTCCAGCCACCTGATCCCATCTGCAGATGAAAGAGGCCACAGGAAGGCCCTGCTACTGTGTGAAATGCAAGAACATGGGCAGACTTTATTTTTTTCCAGCTGAGATGCAGACACCAGGTTCACAGCTCTTGTGGGATTTAAAATGTTAACAGCGTGTGCATTCATTATTCACGCCCTAGGGGTAGGCTCTGGAGCATGTTCCTCAGCTAACCGTTTGTAAGTGTTTTCTAGAAACCCAGGGTACCAGAAATCCAGGGCAGCACCTGGGAGTAAAGATCAACACAGGCAACTCTTTGTATCAGAGAGTGATCACCTTGTTTGGTTGCCACCTCATTTAGTCCCTCTGACTTCCCTTGCAGATGGGTCTTCAGCCAACCAATCAAAATCTCCCCTTTCCAAATGGAGCAGAAACGGTTACGCAGTGATGAGCCTTTCATGCCAAGCCCTTTTGTTTCCGTACTCCCTCAGAGCTCTTCCTTTCCATGGAAATTCCACCCGCCCTTACAGCTCTCCTCGGTGACTGGAAGTGCTCTACCAACATGGAAGCACTTCAACACCCAGAGGTCGCCATTTACCTTCAGGTCCTTCACTACTGCACAGTTTAAAAGCGTTCAATCCCCTGAACAGGCCCACCTTTGTTTTTCTAGGTGTTTTTTCAAGATGGCCAACCTAAAGTTTAAAAAAAAAAAACAAACCACATCCCTTTTCTTATTCGCAAATTTGCTGTCCTTCACAGAGCTCAGGCGTTCTCTTTTTTTATATACTAACAAGCCCAATTTGGCCACACCTGCCCCTTGCCAGAGGACTCCTACAACATCTCCCCTCCCTGACAGAGCTGAGATGATGTTGTCACAGGGACAGCCCTACAACTGTCCCGTTCGTGGTGTAGTAGTACTGCTGTTCAATAGAGAGAACGTCTGGGAGAGTACCCAGTCTATGTATTGTAGACCATTTCTTTTTTCCAGATAATAATGATCAAATTATTGTCTTCTGCTATTTTCAGAAGAAGGAGCAAGGTGCTGGGCAAACATAATTTGTCCTGAGGAACATATATTGCATTTGTACATTGTGACATGTTACTATTAAGGCTATGACAAAAACAACTGGGAACAATTCTCTGAGTAAGCTGTTAAATGCAGAGCCTACAAGCAATACTATACAATTCCTTAACTCAGCTCAGCTCCCTGATAAGCTAACTCAATTAAAGGTGTAGTTGCTGCCATCCTTTTTCCCTCTAGCTATGCAACTCTACTCCCTGCCTGCTGATAATACTGTTATTTATCAAATTTCTTAGTAATTCAGTTCATTTAGCTGGCAATGAACTCATTTTTTCTGTCTGGGTATGGAGAGGCGGGGAGTTTCTTCACGCTGAATCCATTCCCTGTAAGGTGGGACAAGGAGCAGTGACAGAGCAGGACTGGCCAGACACCCAGGCAAGAGAACACTGCAGCCCCCAGCGGTTCACAGCTCTTGTGGGATTTAAAATGTTAACAGCGTGTGCATTCATTATTCACGCCCTAGGGGTAGGCTCTGGAGCATGTTCCTCAGCTAACCGTTTGTAAGTGTTTTCTAGAAACCCAGGGTACCAGAAATCCAGGGCAGCACCTGGGAGTAAAGATCAACACAGGCAACTCTTTGTATCAGAGAGTGATCACCTTGTTTGGTTGCCACCTCATTTAGTCCCTCTGACTTCCCTTGCAGATGGGTCTTCAGCCAACCAATCAAAATCTCCCCTTTCCAAATGGAGCAGAAACGGTTACGCAGTGATGAGCCTTTCATGCCAAGCCCTTTTGTTTCCGTACTCCCTCAGAGCTCTTCCTTTCCATGGAAATTCCACCCGCCCTTACAGCTCTCCTCGGTGACTGGAAGTGCTCTACCAACATGGAAGCACTTCAACACCCAGAGGTCGCCATTTACCTTCAGGTCCTTCACTACTGCACAGTTTAAAAGCGTTCAATCCCCTGAACAGGCCCACCTTTGTTTTTCTAGGTGTTTTTTCAAGATGGCCAACCTAAAGTTTAAAAAAAAAAAACAAACCACATCCCTTTTCTTATTCGCAAATTTGCTGTCCTTCACAGAGCTCAGGCGTTCTCTTTTTTTATATACTAACAAGCCCAATTTGGCCACACCTGCCCCTTGCCAGAGGACTCCTACAACATCTCCCCTCCCTGACAGAGCTGAGATGATGTTGTCACAGGGACAGCCCTACAACTGTCCCGTTCGTGGTGTAGTAGTACTGCTGTTCAATAGAGAGAACGTCTGGGAGAGTACCCAGTCTATGTATTGTAGACCATTTCTTTTTTCCAGATAATAATGATCAAATTATTGTCTTCTGCTATTTTCAGAAGAAGGAGCAAGGTGCTGGGCAAACATAATTTGTCCTGAGGAACATATATTGCATTTGTACATTGTGACATGTTACTATTAAGGCTATGACAAAAACAACTGGGAACAATTCTCTGAGTAAGCTGTTAAATGCAGAGCCTACAAGCAATACTATACAATTCCTTAACTCAGCTCAGCTCCCTGATAAGCTAACTCAATTAAAGGTGTAGTTGCTGCCATCCTTTTTCCCTCTAGCTATGCAACTCTACTCCCTGCCTGCTGATAATACTGTTATTTATCAAATTTCTTAGTAATTCAGTTCATTTAGCTGGCAATGAACTCATTTTTTCTGTCTGGGTATGGAGAGGCGGGGAGTTTCTTCACGCTGAATCCATTCCCTGTAAGGTGGGACAAGGAGCAGTGACAGAGCAGGACTGGCCAGACACCCAGGCAAGAGAACACTGCAGCCCCCAGCGGGCTCGCGTCAAGTTGCCGAACTGGTTTCTGAGCTTTCTCACATGCCATAAAAATCTGCATTCAGTCCCACAAGAGAAGGAAAAATGCTTTTGCGTCTTTTTTGTTTCCGCTTATCACAAAAGGAAGATCTAAGAAAGTGTGTGTCACTGGGAGAGAGGTTAAATAATTATTTTTATGGTCGCTGTTTGTTAGAAATTCAGACCTTCGTTATCCTGCTATTTTGGAGATCTCTCTAGGTAGCTTGCCAAAGAGAGCAAGCGGGATGATGTTGTCAAAGTAAGGGGTAACAACTGCTAGAAGGAGAAGCAAATATACGCAGGCTGATGTTACATTTTTAATGGTTTTGATTGTTTTCTATTTAGCCTGCACCTCTGTACCCGCTCAAGGAATTGTACAGTAGACACTGTTTAGTGTGCAGAGATTCCTGCAAAAAATAACCCACCCAACACGCGCATTTTGAAACAGTAAGAGAAGAACACAAGAGGGAAAGAAAAAACAGGCTCTGTTTGTAAAAGGAAGTATTGGGTGTCTACTGCAACATCACTTTTTCCTCTGTTAGTTGGGAGAGATTGCGACTGGCAGATACATTTATGTATGTTTACTCTGGTTAAACAGAAATGCAGCGGTTCTTTCAAACCTCAGAGCTGGCAGCAGCAGCACAGTAATTGCATACGGTACTTGAAGAGTTTGATAATCATTTGTCCATAATTTGATTAAGAACATCTTGGATCACCCACTACGCAAGGATAAGTGTTCTGAGGAAATCTTATAGTGGTAAAAGATGCTAACGATGAGCTGTGCCAGCGCTGAGCCAATGCTAAGGAACAGCTCAAGTGAGCCACAAGTATTCTTGATAATCTTGATATATAAAAAAGCCCATAAAATGAAAGCAATTATTTTTCCTGTCTCTCCCTCCTTCTTCCCCCCCAGTTTCTTGGAATATGGACGAAATTAGTTTAGCAACCATTACCGTACAGAGACAAGAGCCAAGCTAGCACCGACCTCTAGCCTGACCAGCATCAGTGTTTAGAACAAACTCTGACAAGACTCTTGACATTTAACCAGGCGCGCATAAAATCATCACCTGTAAGGCAGGAAAGTAACCTCACCGCCGCTTGGCTGTAGCGCAGTTTTACATGATGGAAAGGAACCGCGACCTTCCCTTCTTTTGATCGGGGCTTGTGGTTTGGCTGTTGCGGCTAAGGCCTAGACGTACGTCCCGCAGATGTTGCACACAGGGGTGGGCAGGGTTGCCACATGCTTGGAAGACACCTGGAGAGCAACAGGCGCCTTCGTTTGGCTGTTGCGGCTAAGGCCTAGACGTACGTCCCGCAGATGTTGCACACAGGGGTGGGCAGGGTTGCCACATGCTTGGAAGACACCTGGAGAGCAACAGGCGCCTTCCGTTAGC